ACGCATGGTTCTGCCCCCTGCGCACTGGGTTTGGTGGCGTCTAGTGTTTGTTTTCTGTAAGGCGCCAGTCTGCACTCCCCTCTTCCCCCCACTCCCCGCTTGGCGAGCTTTCTCGCTCCTGAATTGGTAGGAGTGTCTCTCAAAACTGTAAATCATACATTCTCGGTGTCTTGTTTCCTGTTTGGCTTTGGTGTCCAGAAAGGACTCGACATTGCTGTTCACTTCTAGGTAAAGGTTGCAGATGGGCTGCCTGCGTTGTAAGCCTGTGAATACAGAGGAAGGTCATTCCTGTGTGTAGATCGGATGCTCCAGAAATTATTGCGGAAGCATTCTTTCCAAGGGGCATATAAACTTTGTAATTTTCAAAAATCCAAATTTAAATGAACATTTGGATTTGTTGTTTTGAGCTTGTTTTTAAAAGGCTAAAGGCATCTAAACTATCATCTCTCATTATTTTAATTCTATTTTTCACCACATAGAAATTGAACCTAGGGCTTTTTCACTGAGCTACAGCCCCAGGCCCAGCCCCCCTTTTTTGAGGCAAGCTCCTAGTAGATTACTGAAATGCTCAAGCTAGGCTTGAATTTGGGATCCTCCTGCCTCAGCCTCCCATAGTACTGGGATGACCAACCTGTGCCACTGTGCCAGATTCAGTTGCTTTTATTAGCCACAGAACGAAATATGAGGCTTCAAAGAAAGGTGAGCTAATACTTTATGGTTTGTGCTCTAGTTTAGCTTTCTTGACACTTGGATGCTCCTACCAGGAAACTGCAGCAATCTGCTATTCCCAAAGCAAACCGTGCTTCCCAGAATCCTCTCTTTGCTCTCTGAAAATGCTATAGCAAAACATGGAATTGCAAAGTGCGACTCACACAAATTATAAATGTGAGGGAATGTGGATTAGCAACCAGTGTGGTATGTGGCCATTTTAAATCCATCTCAGACAATGTAATGTCTCTTCCTTGGGAACTAGTGATTCTGATAGACTTCTTGATTATTAATCCCATGGAAATAATTTTTTTTTTCTAAGTTCTGTACATGGTATAAAATACAGCCCACTAGGATGGAGAACACTGGTGAAAGTATCAAAAAGACTGGATCTTTAAGAACCACCACATGGGGGCTGGGGGTTTAGCTCAGCGGCATAAATACCTGCCTTGAAAGCAGGCAGTCGTGAGTTCAATCCCCGGTACTGATAAAAAGGAAAAAGACAAAAAAAAAAAAAAAAAGAACCACCACATGTGGCAGTGATTACTATTCCAGAGCAGTTTCCTTGGAGACAGGAGCTCCGTGCTAGGCTTCATCTCTTGGGCTACAGATCTGGAGTCTAATTCGAAATCGCCAAGTAACCAGCGCTTTGCAAAGCTACCGACATATTGGATCCTACAGGTGCACAGCAATAAACACAAGAAGGTTTTTAGCTATACCAAACCGTACATCCGAGACCAGAGTCTGTTACCAGGGGTGCACTGTGAGCTTCCCAAACAGCTCTAGATCCTTTTGTTGGTCATTCAGATCGCACAGCTGATTGACAGCAGAAAGTGGGTGAGTGTCTTATGTTTCAGCCCTTTGAAGGGACAGTTGACCACGCAGCTTTTGGGAGCTAAAAGCTCTTTAGAAGCCCATGTCCTATAAGGGAAAAATTAGGGGAAGGTGAAGAAGAAAACTTTTCTTTTTTTCTTTTTTTCTTTTTTTTTTTTGGTCTTTTTCATTTTTATCGGTACCAGGGATTGAAGTCATGACTGCCTGCTTGTAAGGCAGGTGCTTACGCCGCTGAGCTAAACCCCCAGCCCCGAAAACGTGTTTTCTTATGTCAAGGCCCCTTGACAACCTCATTTCTGCTCTCAGGTACTGTTTTTCCCCACCAGGAAGAAAGATCTTGTAAATTTGCCCCTTAACCCAGTCCTGCCAGAAATGACTCAGGTCGCCTCTAGCTGGTCTGCGGTTGTCCTCTCCCTCTGTGACCGCCTCAGCAGACAAGTGGGGTTGTGGCCAGGTAACCTGGCGTCAAGGCTGCACATCCGGGCTCTCCACAGCCCACTCCCGGGGTTGCAGCTCTTTTCAGCTCTTGGTGCTAAGAACACGGGTTCCGCAGACAAGAGACACAGGCTTTGGGTTTCAGCTCTGCTGCTATCCAACCGTGGGACCTGTGGCAGCTTGACCTCCCTGGGCTTTGGTTTCCTTCCCCTAAACTATGGACGTTTCATTCTTCGTCACAAGGGCTAAAACGTAAACGGAACCTCAAGCTTAGCAAAGTGTCTCACACCAACACTTCAGTGCCGGGCAGAGAGTGGTGCTGGATGTGAACTGCCACTTGCTCCCTGACCTTTTTCTACTTCCCCGCAGCGTCCCTTCTTGGGGCTCCTCTTAAATGTCTCCAGCCCAGCCTGGTTCCCCGGGCTGCTTGCTCTTCCTTCTACCACTGTCCCCTTCAAATGTGCTCCTTGCTCTTTCCTAACCCAAACCCTATTCAGTAAATTCCTACTCATTCGTCAAAACGTGAACAGAACACTTAGACCACTATCTCAGTTACAAGAAGACTGAGATGGAAGAATCTCAGATTGCAGGTCAGCCCAGGCAATTTAGCAAAACCCGTCTCAAAGGAAAGATTAAATGGACTGCAAATGGAGCTCAGTACTAGAATGGCTCTGGGTTTCATCTCCAGGACCAAAAAGGAATGTAAATGGAGTAACCCAGGAATCCAGGGATTTCACATCTAGGAATGTAACCCATGGGTATTGTTACACACCTGTAACCTCAGGAGGCTGAGGCAGGAGAATCTTGAAAGAGGCTAGATTGAGTTACATAGTGAGTTCAAGGCCAGCCTGAAATGTATAGCAAGACCTTGTCTGAAAAAAAATTATTTTAATAAAATATAAAAAGTTAAGTGGAAAATACATGCATTCATCAGATAAATGGACACAGAGATTTGGTTTACCTGAGGGTTTTTCTGTAGGGTTGGTTGGTTTGTTTGCTTTTGACATGAGGTCTCACTATGTAGTGCAGGCTGGCTTTGAACTTGGAGCAATCCTCCCACCTCAGCCTCCTGAGTGAGCGCTGGGATAACAGGCAAGAGCCACCCGGCCTGGCCTCACCCTTGCCTTTATATTCTGACCCCAGTCTACATGATCAGACTTCTCCAGCAGACTTTCTTGTAATTCCTGCTGCATTTGATTTTTACTGTTTTTGTGCTTGTCAGTTTGTTTTGTTTTAAAACTCAGGGTTGGGGCTGGGGATTTAGCTCAATGATGCAAGCACCTTCCTGGCAAGCACAAGGTCATGAGTTCAATCCTCAGTACCAACATAAAATAAAATAAAACTCAAGGTCCACAATGTTCCCACATACCTCCACTTTGCAGTTACAATTCCGTCCCACCCCTCTTCTCTGCCACCTTCATCCCTCTCATCAAAGTCACTGTGTCCCCACCCCTAGCTAACTAGGGTTCTCTCACTGCAGGATTTTTTGGGAGTGGGGTTGTGTTGGTGTTTTGAGAGAGGGTCTCACTGTGCAACCCAAGCTGGCCTCAAACTCACATCGATCCGATCCTCCAAGTAGTAGTAGTAGTACTTGGACCAGTATAAAAAAATATTGTTTGTTCATCTGAAATTCAAATTTAAGAGGGCAACTTGTGTTTTCATTTGCTAATCTAGCACTTGTGCTTAGAGGGCAAACCCAAAGGCATATGTAATTGGCTTTCTGCACTAGCATTAAAGTGACAAATATCACAAAGCTCCCAGTTCCCCAGGCCATCCTGAGATGATGAACATAGCAAAGGGTTTTTTGTTGTGGTGGTTTTGGAGGGTTTGGTTTTTGGTTTTTGGTGGGGTTTTTTTGTTTGATTTTTAGGGTTGCCCCTCCGTGCAGCCCTTGCCACATTCTGAGCACTGACTATTAACTTGTTCATTCATCCATTCAGGCAGCAATTTTTTTTCCCCAAGGGCCTGCTCTGTGCCAGGCATAAATTCTGGGAGAATTCCACAAGCCAACTAAAAATCCCTGTCCTTGAACAGGCCTTACTTTTGCCGGGTGGACTAACTGTAAAGTGACAATTGCTATGAAGGACTGGAAAGGATGAACAGGCCTGTGGTTCCAGCATGGGGAGACTGAGGCAGGAGGATCTCAAAGTCAAGCCCATCCTGGGCAATTCAACAAGAACCTGATTCAAAAAAACAAAAAGACTGGGGATATAGCTCGGTACCAAGATCGTTGATTTGATCCCCAGTACTGAAAAAAAATTAGCTAGAAATTCATATTTGTTGTACTTTTTGTCTGGTAGTAGTAGTATCTGAAGGCTGACTTCCCAAACCCTATATTCTTACATTCGGAGGCATAAAATTGTTATATAATTCTATGAACAATGGAATTTATCATCTTTATTACACTGACAACCGGTGTCTCCAAACTCTGCTTGCTAAAATTTTTAACCCATATTTAAACATTTTGCTTTTTTCAAAAACCCTATTCTGGTTTGAATATGAAAGGTAGATTCTGATTAACACAGCCTTTTAGGCGCCCACAGCCTCAGCTTGGAAAACAGACTCCGGGTGCTCTTTCCCTCTGAACTCTCCCTCCGAGCCGGTCTGCGCGGTCCGAGTCCTTCCTGGTCGAGCAGAGCGAAGGTGAGGTGGACCCTGTGCTGCCTGGGCAGCTTCGGGCCTGGCTCAGCAGCCTGATCCATCTCTCATCAGTGTCTCAGCTGCCGCAGAGGAAGATCAAGGCGACACAATGCAGGCCGCAGCTGCACATGCTTTCCTTTCCAAGGCTCAGATCCATGACCCTCACTCACAGCTCGGGAGCTCAGAGTGGGTGGCACTTTTGCACGACGCACTCATGTTACTCGTAATTAACTTTTTCTGTGGGTGCAGGAAAGTAAGATAAGGCGTTGCCTCTTTAACCTCTAGATTCGAAGATCCTAAGCTGAACACCATCAGCTGCTGCTTATACTCCACCAGGGGAGGAAAAGACTTGTGAGGGGCTTTGGGCGGGGGTGTGCTGTAGCCAGGATGGCTGCGACCCGCTGCAGGATCAGTGCGCTCCTCTCCTGAGCCGGGAACCTTTACCCTCCCTGTTCGGACCGCAGGGGCCCGGAACAGCAGGAAGAGACCTCTGCCCGCGAACTCAGATCCCAGGAGGGCCGGGTATGCCAAGGACGATCCTTCCTTTTTGAGTTTGGGCAGAAGTGTGTGAACCGCTTTACTCGAGGAAGCCTAGTATTTCTCTTTTTTTCTTTTCCTTTTTTTTTTTTTTTCCACGAAGGCCTTCCAGGAAATACGGCTCGTGAGATTCATCTCTGAGCCACAGATTGCAGCCGAGCGTATCCTGCACACTCACTGCAGACACCTGAACTAGCGTGTTGTTTATCTGTTCTTTCCGGAAAGACAGCTGCAGAAGACTGCTTAACTTGTAAATCATAACTTCTCACTTGTAGAAAATTTCTTTAACGACTAGGAAGCGGGGGCGGGGTCTCATAGATTTATTCTACTTTAAGAATTGACCTAGAAGGATAGAATCAGTTTTCTGATCCTGCTTTACTTCTTAAATAAATCTGACCCCTTTCCTAGTAATTTTTAGAATGTTATAATTTATCAATCCATCTGTCAAAGAGTTTTGTTAGTTTCAAAATCCATTCGTTTTTAAACGTGCTGCATAGTGTGATTTTATTCAGGAGTCTGTGCCTTTCGTCGTCTCCTGTGTCCAGTAATTCTGCGCCAGAGTGGGTACTTTAGGGTTGGGGATGGTGCTTTTTTTTCCCCTCTCCTTAACTTGTTTTGTTTTGGTTTTTTGAATCCTATTCATTCCAACATTTGCTCAGCTACAGATTAGAACTGAGAAGTACTTCAAACTGGTTTTATTTCCTCTAGGAGGATAAAATGTAGAATCTGGTTCACATTTGGCCTTCCCAGGAGGTGCGAGCAAGGGCTCCCAGCTTTGGGCAGGAAACGTAGGGCGCCTTTAAGAGGAACCTGCGGTAATTTTCCACTGCCCGCCTCAGCCGGGCCGACGCGGCAGGGGGCGGGGTGGAGTGCGGCTGCGCAGCGTGGCCCGCGCCTCCGTTGCCTGGATACCGCCGCCCCCGCCCTCACTGTCAGAAGTCCTTCTGTTTCCAAGATGGCATTCGAGCTTTATTTTTAGGGCGCCAGTAACAAAGCTCGTAGGGCAGCCTTGAGCTTAGCAGACCGCAGGAGTTGTGCGGCTGGCTCGTTGTCACTATTTATTGGTCTTACGGCATTGCAAAAGCGTATTCAGCGAGGTGCTCCAGAGGGAGCTCGGAGGGCTGCAGCTGGGGAGCCTGCTTGTCCTCCGGCTTTCCCTTCCTGCCTCGGCTCAGGGCTGCAGAGTTGGAGCTAACTTTGTCGTTCCTTTGATAAGAGCTCTGGTTTCCCGTGTCAAACCGGCTCCAAGAGAAGTCTTGGGATCTAAACTGGGCTGTCACATTTATGGAAATCCTGTGATCCCACGGAGTCCATTTGGGGTAATGCTGCCCGTCGCCCGTCGCTTGGTGCGCCCCCCCCCACACACACACACTGTGTGTGGTGCTGGGCACAAGCCCAGGCCGTTTGCCGCGGTGCCTGGCCCTGTACGATATTTAGGTTCTAGGAGTCGAACTCAGAACCTCACATTTGCCAGGCAGGCACTGTGTCGCTGAGATATATCCCCAGGCCTATGATCTCCTTTTAAAACCCTCTATTTTTTTTTTTTTTTGTCTCCTTGAAAATTTGGTTTATACCCAGTTATGATCTTACAGTACCGTTATAGTCATTAAAAACCGGGCTTGGGGGCACATACTTGCAAACCCAGCACTCTATGAGACAGGAGATCACAAATTCGAACCCAGCCTGGCAACTTAGCGGCTTAGTAAGTGCCTATGGCAAACTTTTAAAATTAGAAAAAAGAGGAGGGGGCGTGGGATGTAGCTCGGTTCCAAGGCCCCAAATTCAATCCCTATAACTCCCACACACAATCAAATTGTAAATTCCTCAAAGGACAGGAACTTCGTTTTCATTCTTTGTACCGGCAGAAATATTTTTACTCCTAAGAAAATTTCAAGTACTGATGTTAAAAGGACTAATTAACATCTATTTAAGGGTCTTTAACTCTGCCAAACATTGCTTTAAGGTAGAGACCTCTTTGTCATCCTGTTTACAGATAGAGAAACCAAGGCAGCGGGAGGTTAATTAAAGTGCCACAGCTGTAAGTCTAGGCCCGAACTGCAGAGCTTGAGCAGTGGCAGAGAAGCCGTCCTGGGTCTGGGATCCTGGCGTCTTCTGGTCCGCAGTGGCAGGGAAGGTGTGACACCCTCTCTCCCTCACCCTGCCCTATCTGCACGCAGAATTTTGTTTGGAACCTGCTTTGCACGTTTGCGTAGGATGTTGGTGGTCAATGTATGTAGATGCTAACCTCCAAGTAGAGACACAAACTTAGCCCATAAAAATTTATTGCCTACCTGATAAATTCTCTCTCTCTGTAAGTTTCATTATTGAATAAACATTAACCCAAAATGTGAGGCATGCCCAAGCAGTCAGATAAAAGACTGAAAGAAGTTTCCTTGTTTTTGCATAGCTAGGCAGACACACCTGTTACCGTAGGCGGCCTCAAGGTAAACAGGAGGGGACAGCACCCTGAGTCTGCATAGTTCAAGCAGAACTCACCTGGTAATCGGGAGCTGGTGATGTCAGCTAATTAGCTTAATCCAAAGAGGACGGGAGGGGGAAATTAACTGGGGAATTAACACAGGACCTTAGTGCTGAGCTACACCCACATCCCTTTGTGCTTTTATTTTGAAGCAAGGTCTTGCAGAATCTCTGAATTGCTCAGAGATTGCCCAGGCTGGGTTCGAATTTGTGATCTCCTGTCTCATCGAGCGCTGGGTTTGCTCAGGGTGGCTTCAAACTTTTGATCCTCCTGCCTCAGTCTCCTAGAGTGCTGGAAGTACAAGAGGGTGCCACCACAGTCAACTAAATAAACATTTGTACAACAGAAATCAGGTTTGTAACTTAGACAAAAGCCTCCACGGAGTTAGGCCCGCCCACAGGAGCTGTAAACAGCGATGCTACCTCGGTGCTGATTACATTTCAAAAAGAAAGTTCCCAGGACTTTGAGAAACACTCCCAGGTTATTAAAAGCTGGCCTTGACTTTTAAATACATTTCCATACTTCTCAAAAGGATAGAGAAGGAATTTATCCTTACAAATTGTCTAAAGCCAGACCAGATGTGGTGGTTTCCTAGGGGTAATCCCAGCAGTTTAGAGGCCGAGGCAGGAAAATCGCCTCAATTTCAAAGCCAGCCTGGGCTCCGTAGTGAGTGCAAACCAGCCAGAACTACACACCAAGACCTTGTCTCAAAAAAAAGTGTCTAAGGGCTGAAAGGAAGGGAGAGAAGCCTTCCCCCACTTCTGTATTAGGGAGCATTATTAGATTTGTATTTAGCTTTACACCGCATATACAGACCAGCTTTTCCAAATTCAGATTTTTCACCTCCACGGCTCACCCTTTCACAGACATAATAGTCAAATACTAGGGAGCCTGAAGAAATAACCACATACTGTTAAATTCTCTCTTCTAATTCAAATTCTTGCTTCCTGGTTTCTTTCCAATTAAACCTAATTTCTAGCAGGTGCAGCAGTGAATTTGCATGTTGAGCTGGTCCAGAGAACAAGCCCAGGAAATGACACACAGCGGTCCTGGTGTTCTTCGTTTGCGTTTGGTCTTCACTCAGCCTCTGGGATGCCTGGCGGGAGGACTCCTCCTCGCCCACCTCCTGAGCTATAGATGCTTTTGTTGTAGCATCCAACTTTAGCTCCCCACTCCTTTACTGGGGATGGAACCCACGGCCTTCACAGTCAGCCCAGTCCCCTATTTATTTTTAATTTTTGGTTTTGTTTTGCTTTGCTTTGATTTTGAGGTAGGGCTCAGTTTGTATGTAGCCCAGGCTACCCTTGAACTTGCAGTCTCCTCCTGTCTCAGCCTCCCAAGTGCTGGGATTACAGGCATGGGCCACCATGGTTGGCTATACCTTAGGTTTTTTGCTAAAGCAAGCTGCTCATGGCTCCATGTCTTAGCTTGTTCCTGTTTGACTCAGGAAGAAAATAGCTCAGCTTGCCTTTCCTTCTGGAACCTTCCCTGAGCCTCATTCTGCCCACCTGCCTGCAACTGAATTGGTCTTCCTGGACTCCCAGGCAGCTTGGTAATTTCTTTTTATAGCACACATGTAGCAATGTGTGCGCAGTCAGGTTTAATTTTCTAGTCCATAAACTTCCTATTTCATATTCAAAGATCTTATTTTTCATCTTCTATCGCACCTCACAGCAGGTGTTTGTCTGTGTAGAGCTGAGCTCTCAAGCTGAGGATTCTGACAGACTCGGCTGCCCTGTGCATATTGTCACGTGGCCCAGGTGCCAAGATGTGGCTGCCACTGTCAGGGGACAGGGACGTAAGCTTTCACTTGGCCACAGCCTCTGCTGTTCTTCATTGGGACTGTGATTTTTTATTTCTCCTTAGTCTGTAATGATATTTTTCTTGGAAGCCAGGCCTGGTGACACCTGCCTGCAATGCCAGCACTCAGAAGGCTGAGGCAGAAGGAATGCCCCCTTCAAGAGCACACAAAGCTATAACCCAGCACTATGGTCACTAAATTGATCAGATTGGCAATCCTCCTGCCTCAGCCTCGCAGAGTGCTGGAGTTACAGACATGTGCTACTATTCCTGACTTCCATTTTTCCTAATCCACCTGTTTTGCTTATTAACATTATCTTCAATGTCTCTTCTAGATACCCGAGGGTTTAACCATAAGGTAAATATTCCCAAACCGGTCTAGGAGGGGAATGGGTTGAAAGGGGAAAAGGAAACAACACAAATAGTTAGGATTCCAAGTTTGGAATTCCAGGAGAATTCCAAATGTAACAGACCACCTTGATTTCACCCTGAACATCTTTTCCAGTATTCACTGCGTTTTGCTTGGCTGTGCGCACAAAATGATGAGAGGATCCCCAAGCAGAGTGTTCTGTGCCTCAAATGGGCAGTGACATCACAATAAAACTCAAGGCACGTGTCCCCTTCTCGCCTGCGATCTTAAAGTCACTCAATTGTTTTGTCTAGCTATATGATTCCTTCCCAAAGCAAAGAACTGTTAGGGTGAGGGTAGGAGTGGCTTGGTCAGGAGAAACCCACAGGGCCGATCCTGGCATACTTTGCCCATAAGAACTAACCATCAGCTTTCCTTTCGGGGCCACTTAAAATCGCAGGACGGACTGAGAGAATTTTCAAGGGCAAACAACTTTTATCAGTTAAAATGGTGACCACATTATTCTAGATAGTCGAGAAAAACAATCAGCCATGCAAATTGCCTTTCCGACAGCAGAATGCACTTGTCACGCACTAGAAAGGGTTTAGAGTCGTGAGGACTTGGGATCTAATGAGCACAAAGCAGCTGTATTAACCAAGGCCTAGCAAAAGCCCAACAGTTTAATTCTGGCTCTGCTGGGAGCTTGAGACCCTGCTGCATGCAGGAGGTCTGGGTTCGCTCTGCGGCTCCTCACGGGCCTCCAGATATTTCACCCGACCTGCGTAACCACGGGCCACACCATCCCGAGCTGCGAGCCGGAAGCCTGGATTATGAAGGAAGGTGGCTCACACCCGGCGCCACGCTGCATCCCTGGCTCTGCTGCTTCCGCAAGCGCACCGCGGTCGCTGCCTCCTGTCTGCAGGAAGCCAGCCGTGTGGATCCCTGCGGGTTTTCTCCGTGCGCTGCCAACGGCGAAGGCAAACATGTTCATGTCTGACGTTATTTTTAGGACCGCGGACGATCCGAGAAATATATTCAGCTTGTAGAATGATAGCGTAGACTCAAAATAATTTTGTGCTTTTGTTTCTTTTTAAGTCAGACTCTGCATGGGTGTCCATTCATGGGAGAGAGGAGACCCGTATCAATACTCACTTGAAACCACTCAACGCCTGGCGGCCTCTCGCACTGCAGAACTGACTGATATTGATTCGGATTGAGGCATCTGCTGCATTTTAGCAAGCGCCCTATTTAATCTCCGTGTCCTGTGCCGCTGTCTCGTCCTTGTCCCTTTTCAAAGTCACAGTGATTTGGAACCCACTTAGGGCTTTTAGTTTGATGGGCCGGCGCTCTGCAGCGCGCTGACCTCTAGACCGACCAGAGTTTCCCCCTTTTCTTTCTGCAATTATTTTTTCCTCCACAATTTCCTTTTTGAATATTTAAACACGTAAAAATGTAAGGTAACCAAAACAAACTACCAAAAGTAAAAAATAAAAAATAAAGCGTTGCAAGTTTTTTTGTATACAACGCCCTTACAGAATGAGAGTAAAATGTCTGCAGAGTGTGGCTTTCAAACTACTGGACTGAGATAAACGACAGGGGAGGGGGACCCCACAATCCAGACAGCAACCAGCCGGTCGGTCCTCTCGGAGTAGGAGGAAGGCTGCAGCCCGCCAGGCTTTAGAGACCGGCCTGCCAACCAACCCTTCAGTGCACGCCTTATATTTAGTGTGGGGAAAATTACCAATCGGAAATTTGGTCCACACAAACCCCGGGTTGGCAAGTAAAATCCAGGCCCGGTTATGGATGCAGAGGTCGAAGGCAGCGAGCGTCGCTGCATTTCCTGGTGGCTCCGTGACACAGCCATCAATAATATGGGCCGGCTTTAGGTCGCTGTTTGTAGACGGTAAATTTAAATCCTTTGTCCACGCGGGGCAACTCAAAGGCAGTAACCTTGGCTACCGGCGTGGCAGAAGAAACGCGCTCTAGATTCCCGCTTCGATACTCAGTTTTAGAAAACTGGAGCTGGGCCGGTGGGGGGAGGGCACGGCGGGGGCGGGGGGTGGGGGAGGGCACAGCTACTTTGCCGGGGTTATTGACACCCCGGAGCCCCGCTCGGCCCCGCGCGCTGGGGAAACAATGAGTCATTCACGCTGCAGGCCAGGTGGTGCCTGAATTCCAGCCCAGGCGGGAAGCGTTAACCCCTGCAGGACTCCTGCAGCCCGGGGGGAGCGGGAGGCCCGCAGGCCTGCGTTGGGGAAGAAGCGGAGCCGGGACCAAGGTCCCCGAGGCCTCCGAGCTGTTTGTCCCCGCGTGATTGGCTCCGGAGAGGGGTGGAGATGGGCAGACACTTCCCAGGATATACTTAGTGCCCAGTGCAGCTTTCGTCCTGACGCTTAAGTGCTTTTCTTAACTCCGCCAGGGTGAAGAACTTAAGCCGCCCACAGCAGCCTCTCAACCCCCTCCCCGAAGGTTTTCTCTTCCTGACCCTGAAAGTTGAGGGCAGCTCTGGGTGTGTTGTTGCCCAAGAGGAAACTGAGCAGCCTGCAGGTAGAACAGACGCAAAAATGTGAAGCACGGACCTTCGTTGGGAAACGCAGTTTAAGAAATGCAGCTAGAGCATTTTCTAAATCAGACGCTTACGTGCCTGACGTTAATTTTCTGTGGGATCCGACTCAAAGCTGGGTATTTTGAAACACCTTTACTGGAACTAATTGATGGAGTTAAAGACATAATTAAATTTTACAAGCTGAAAGAACAGTTTCACTTGAGTCGATTCACATGTTCCAGGAAGGGAAGAATTATTTCTGCGCTAAGGGCCCAGCGCTTTGGCGCGCTCACTGCAGGACACGGCAGGCTTTAGCCCTTGCTGGCACCGCCTAGGTGTGGTTACAGCAGTTAGGGTCCCTTGTCCATGATTAGCAAGAAGTGTGGAAACTTTCTTCCTCCTGAAGACTGAACCCAAGACTTTCCACTGAGCTACATCCCAAGCCTCTTCCTTCCTTCCTCCCTTCCCACTGGTTGGGTTGGTTTTTTTTGTTTTTTGTTTTTTTTTCATTTTGAAATAAGTCCTGCAAAGTCTCTAACTTGCTCTGGGCTGGGCTGAAACTTAATGATCCTCCTGCCTCAGCCTCTCAGACTGGTGGAATTGCACACAGCATCACCATGCCTTGCTAATGCACAAGCTTTTTTCGTTTTTCTGTTTATTTTTATTTTTCCATGCAAATTCCATTTGCAGTGATGAACCCAGGGAAGAAACCTGGAGGCAAGAAGCTTGCAGTTTGGTTGATATCAGGAAACAGGGCTGTACTGGTCAGGGTTCTCCAGAGAAACAGAACCCCTTGGGTATATTTTATTTTAGATCTGCCTGTTTCTGTTTTTTGGGGTTTTTTTTTTTGTTTGTTTTGTTTTGTTTTTTGTATCAGGGATTGAACTCAAGACCTTGTGCATGCTAGGCAGGCACTTATGCTGCGGAGCTAAATCCTCAGCCCTTGGATATATTTTATTTTACACAGATTGCTGTCAGGGACTGAATTGCATTAATGGAAACTAACAAGTTCTGTGTCTGCCAAGTGGGCTAGCAGGTTGGAGACCCAAGAAAAGACCTAGTGTTTTGTCTCAGATCCAAAGAACATATTTTGAAGCCTGACCACTGTAATTCCAGCACTTGGGAGGCTGAGGCAGAATTGCTACTGAGTTTCAGGCCAGCCTGAACTACATGTGAGATCCTGCCTCAAAAAAAAAAAAAGGCAGGGGATTTAGCTCAGTGGTTTGAGCTCTTGCCTGGTAATTGCAAGGTGAGGGGGACATGTATCAAGAATCCTCAAATGTCCCTCTCTCCTCTGGGTTGGGGGAAGAGGCAGAAGTATTTTGTTCTACTCAGGCCTTTACCGATTGGACAGGGCCACCCACGTTATGGAGGTGATTGACTTTACTCAAAGTTCACCTGTTTATAAATTTTTGCTTTTATTGATACATATTTGCAGTACATAATGATCACAGCCACCGTGGGAAGTTGGTGGTACATACAGCACGTTTTTAGAAGTTCATCTATTTAAATAGTAGTCTCATCCCAAAACACCCTCAGCCTGTCTAGGCACTGTGACCCAACCAAGCTGACATACAGAGTTGTCCTCAGATGGCTGGGGATTTAGCTCAGGGGCAAAAGCACCTGCCTGGCAAGTATGGCTCAGGAGCTTGATTCCCAGTACTAAAAAAAAAAAACAAAGTTGATCTTCAAACAAGCGAAAACATCCATCTTGAGAGTGGATGTTTGAGACCAGCCTGGGACACTGTCTTAAAAACAAAGTGGGTGGGGAGTTGCCTAGGCACTTAGCTCAGTGATGTAAGCCTGCCTGTCAAGCGTGAGGTGGTGAGTTTGAGACCAAGTACAAAAAAAAAAAAAAAAAAAGATAACCCATTTTGAAAAATTTACCTGTTAAGAGATGAGAATGCATGCCATGTTGAGTATGTGAGGGTATAAAAATGGGTAACGTGTCCTCCCTTCCTTCAAGGCTGTCTCCTTTCTCTCTCTCTCTCCTCTCTCCTTTCCTTCCCCTCCTCTCCTGGGACTTTGCCCTTCAAAGGCCCACACTGTTTTGCAGGAAAGGCCAGGCCATGTGTGATATCAGGAAAATGGCCCTCCCTGTCCCAGCTTCTTTGCCTCGTTATTTATTTTTGAGGCAGTCCCCCTAAGCTGCCCAAGCTGGCCTTAAACTCCTGTTCCTCCCACATCAGCCTCTTGAGTAATTGGGTCTCTGGTGTGGCCACCACACACCCATCTTCTATCCCAACTGCTGTCCCACAGAAACTAGAAGGACTTAAAAAAAAAAAAGACTGATGCTGTGGTAAAGCCATTACATGGGAAGGGTGATGTGTCACACAGCGACTGGTGCCTTGTAGAGTAAGAGCACGTTCAACTCAATGGGAAGCTGCCATGCCGTCTCCAAAGTGCCTTTACCCTCCCGCTTCAGGACTGCTGACCTGTGCTGTCCTCAGTCTAAGGACCTGCTGTCCTTCCTAGCACAGGAGGGTTGGTTTCCACTGTGGCGTTAGTTTGCATTTGCCTGAGGACCTCACCTGTATTCCTGATCAGAGATAATATCTCCCCATTTAAAGCCAATCTTATTTACCATGACATTTTACAGTCAACTTCATAAAAACAGCTCGTCCTGCTCCTGGTATTACAAAATTTATTCTTAGATTTCCTGTTTGTTTTAAAACACTTCCTATTGAAATGAGTCTGGGGGTATTGTTAATAATTATGTACATCAGGATTTACTCTGACACAGAATAAGAGAGGCTGTGCACGTATGTGGGATTGCCTTTACTCAAAGCTCACCCGTGTTTTAAATTTTATTTATGTACTTATTGTCGTTTGTTTTGAGGGTGATTGAACTCATGACTCACAGCTGGCCAGCAGGCACTTAAAGCACTAAGCTAAATCCTCCGCCCTTTTTCTTTTGTCTTTTTGAGTCAGGTCTCACAATGTAGTTCAGGCTGGCCTTGGGCTCACTTCGCAACCCAGGTTGCTCTCAAACTTGCAAACAGTTCTCTTGCCTCAGCATCTCAAACTTCTGGGATTATAGGAGTGCACCACCATGACTGGCCTAAATTTTTATTTTTCTTAATATGTATTTGTAGTACATAATGATCACAGCTATCATGGGAAGTTGGTGGTACATACAGCACACATTTTTAGAAGTTCATCTATTTAAATAGTAGTCTCAGGGGCTGGGGATTTGGCTCAATGGCATAAGCACCTGCCTTGCAAGCAGGCGGTGGTGAGTTTGATCCCCGGTACCAATAAAAAGAAAAAAGAAAAAAAAAATAGTCTCATCCCAAAACATCCTCAACATGTCTAGGTGCTGTGACCCGACCACGTTGACATACAAAGTTGGTCCTCCAATGGCTAGGGAACTGAACTCAGGGCCTTTGCATTGAGCTACACCCCTAACACTTTTTGCTTTTTATTTTGAGACAGTCTCACTTAGTGGCTAAATTTCCCAAGCAGGCTGGAGTTTGAGATCTTCCTGCCTCAGCCTTCCAGAGGGCTACAATCTCAGGAGTGGGCTACTTGGCCTTCTGAATGTGTGAACCTTAATTGTAACCCATCGTTGTACTGTTAGTTAACATGGCTCTCCTTACCATTTAAGAAATACCTAAACAAAATATCTAAGCTTGCCTCACGAACTCTACAAAGCACATATGTTGTCTGTCATAGGACATGCTTGCACAATTGAATTTGAGTCAGTATCATTTTATGTGACCCAAAGTAGGTTTTTCTTCACTTCTTTCCAATTTTATATCACAGTGTAAGAAAATATTTTGCAAAAAAAAAAAAAAAAAAGACAGAAAATATTTTGCCCAAAGTAAACAGTAGAAGATATTTTACTCCTGGCTCTGTCCCTCATTAGCATCCCTCTGTAGGGAAGCTGCTCTCTGACATTCTTTGTGACAAATAAATTGCCCTGTGATCCCAGCCACTTGGGAGGCTAAGGCAGGAGAACCACAAATTGGAGGTCAGTTTAGGCAATTTAGCAAGAATTTGCCTCAAAATAAAATTCTTAAAAAAAAAAAAAAAAAAAAGGCTGTGGTGGGGAGTGTGGCTCAGTGGTAGAGTGCTGGCTGGCTGGCAGGTAGGGGGCCTGAAAGGTTCAATCCCCAGTACCGCAGAAATAAAACATAAAAGATTGGAGGGTGGGCATGGTGGTGGAGGCCTGGCATACCAGCACTCAAGAGACTGAGGCAGGAAGATCCCCCCAGAGTTCCAGGCCAGTGTGGGCTGCATGCAAGATCCTATCTGAAAAAGAAAAGCAGGCTGGGCCTTGGCTGTGGCTGTAGCTCAGTGGTAGGGCACACACTCAGCACAGCGCACCCGGCAATGCAGAATTCAGTTGGTAAAGTGTGGGTCAGAGCCTTATCTGGCACGGAAGGTGCTCCGGGCCCAGCCCTATTTTGGGCATTTACATGTGTTGACCTGTTTATGTTGCGTGAAAGTCCGTGATATATTACATTGGTCCATGTACAGATGAATAAACCAACACACACACTCCATAATTTTCCCAGAGTCACACACAGCTGTGGGACAGCTGTGAGTGGACACAGGCTGGGCTGGCTGGCCCCAGAATCCATGTGCTAGTACTTCATCTATGGAAGGCTTCATTGGGTTACGCCCCGCGGCCACAGTCACTAGACACCTGATCTCACCAGCAACCTTAGGACATCCTGGGCAGCCTCTTTCTCGCCTACTCTTTGTTTTTGCTGCTGGGGAAGGAACCCAAGGCCTCCCACGGGCCAGGCAGCCATCTGCCACTGAGTTCCTCCCCAGCTCTTTCACTGGGGGACAAGTTTTTCTAGCCTTGCTCTCCTGCTTTGTGAAGGAAGAAACTGAGGTTTACAGCACTAATCTTAGACGGGGTGGTGCCACATGCCTGTGATCCCAGCACTAGGGAGGCTGAGGCAGGACAATCACCAGGAGTTTAAGGCCAGCCTGGGTTACATAGCGAGGACAAGACTAGCCTGAACTCCATGAGAGCCTGTCCAAAACAAAACAAAGCAAACAACCAACAAGTCTAGTCCCAGTTCCCTCACCCAGCCCGAGGTGCAGCCAGGATGGACGCTCCGGAAACTTTTCATGAACTGGGATCCAGTGTTCCCAGGCCCACAGCCTTCAGGAGAGGGAAGACCCCAGTTCACGTAGGCCCCAGAAAGACCACCAACACCCACGGAGAGCCACAGCTGCCACTCCAGGCCCAG